CATTTGACCTTAGAACTGAAGAAGCTTCTCGGATGAGAGGTGAAACGTCTTCAAGCAACTTAAAGAAGTCCAGACGCTTTTCTTTGCAAGCTCCTTTCACTGCCTCTTTAGGTTTAATTTATTTGTAACTAACTGGAATTCTTGAATCTAATGTAATTGTAGGTGGTAGGTTGGATAAATGTTTGACTCTATCCATTTGACTGATTATTTCATATTACAAGGATGGACCTGTGTTTCACCCATTGTGTGGCATTTCTGCTCTTTGTCAAATTTCATCCTTCAGGTTAGATTCTGTTAGTAAGGCTTGATTTTTGTAATTGGCAACGGTTAAAATGTGTCATCCTTTTACAGGCATTGCTCAACACACAAAACAAACTGCGAGCACTGGTCCCAAATTTCACCTTTAACTTGGGGTTTTCGGGAAAGTTCTATCACACAGGTATGCATAATCTTTCTGTTTTTCTACATTCACAACAGCCATGAACTTCTTTAGACTGCTCTATTCAAACATGCAGGTGAAAATGGAAACTTGTGTTCTGTGCTGGTGTAGTGACCCCTCAGTGTATTCAGAAGGTCACTCATTTCCTGCTGTGCTACATGTGGAAAAGTACAAATGTGGAACATAAAGCGGTTAAAGTATTCAACATGTCAACACAAGTAAAAATATTTCTAACGCTGCTTGTGGTTTTTGTTGCTTTATTTTGATCACAAGCTCTCTTTTTTTATTTCGGCACAACTTGAAGCCTGGAGCGAACTCTTCCTGCAGTTTCCTCCACAGTGTCTCCTCCGTTACTATATAAAGAGAGGGAGTCATTAGTCCCCTCATAAACACCTGTCCCCACTGCCAGCCTGACACAGTCTCATGAGATCACTGCAGCAGGCCAGAGACCTGCCGCAGTGCTATTGACATGAACCCTTTTACCAGATGTCGGTAACAACGTGTCCAATCCAGAAGAAATTAAACCATAGATGGTCCATAAATTATCTGTAATAATGAGAAAGGAAGAAGTATTCAACAAATGAAGAAAGGGAGGCGTGACAGGCATGGAAAATCACAGTACCAGCTGAAAAAGTTGATGACCACTTGTGGAGAGAGATCTGGAAGCAGCCTGTACAATTATTTCCAAGAAAACAATAAGTAATGCAACCACCATAGCCTGTATGCACGCTCACCATACACAACTCTGATGCTGAAGAAAAGGCATGTTGAGGCGTGTTTACAGTTTGCTGAAAAACATTTACACAAGCCTGTGAAATACTGGGAAAATATAGTTTGAGATTCTCTTGGATACGGGAGTCAAAGACACTACTTATCACCCCACAAACACCATGCTTACAATGAGGTTTGGAGGTGGGAACCTCATTGTGTGGGGCTGAGATTATCAGTGGTCTTGTATGTCTTCCATTTTCTGATGATTGCTCCCACAGTTGATTTTTTCACACCAAGCTGCTTGCCTATTGTAGATTCACTC